AGAGGTCGCATTTGCGCATGCCGGGAAAGAGGTTGTGTTTTTGGGGTTGAGCAAAGTTAGCAAAAGGCAGCAAAATGATTTGCCGTTTCATGATGAACCAAACAGCAATTTGCCCCCCCCCCCCCTCCCTCCCTTATGCCCCTCTTCGCGCTCGATCGAAAAGTGGGCGGAGCTGGGCTGTGTAGACTGGTCTTGGAGTCAATTTTACGATAGAAACACCCATGATGGTGAGGTGGTGATCGGAGAAGGGCAAAGGGGATCGCATCGGGGGAGTCTTCTTACACTGATGGGGTGGTGGTGGGTCGCATTGAGATCCCCCTAAAAGGAGGGGAGGGAAATTGGTACCACTATACCAATATACCAAACGCCAATTTGCCCTAATCCCTCTTCCCCTCTCCCTGCTAGACGGATTGACCATGCTTGAAACCCCAGTTTGTTCGATGCCGTAACCAGGCTCATAAGCTGCTGGCAAAGGGGCAAGCCGTGACTCATAGAAGAGTCCAGGGCACACGTGTACTGGCTCAGGAAATCTGTAAACTGTGAGGTTAGGAAAGCGTTTTGTCATGCTGTGTGGGAGCTCTCATGCACAGCATCTCTACTTCCTCTAATTCCTTTGAAAGCTCAGTTTAAGTACCCCAAAAAAGTATACTCTTCCATCCATCACCCTTTGGTTGACAAAAGCTGTAACTCTCGTGTAGGTGACAGGAGGAGAGAATCGTCGAGCAATGGCTCCTGCCGACTGCACTAATCCCAGGTTTGCATAAAGTGGAAGTTTGGAGGTCTCGGAACAACTCCTCGTATGTCTTGAGATCTCTGCGCCAAGATGCCCCTCCATACTGACACCAGAGCCGCCTTCGATTTGGACAGAGTTAAGTCGACGAATTAGCAAAGGTTTTTTAGAAACGTGGCGCAAATCGAAGATGGCATTGGAGACAAGATTGGGATGTTGGCTAGAGGTGTGACAGTGTTCATCGCCAGCGCTGTCATCGCCTTCGCGTTCAGCTGGCGCATCACCCTCGTATGCATTATGGACGGTCCTGTGAGTGCCATAACCATGGCCATCATGTCACGGGTGAGCTTCTTCTTCATGTTTCTTGCTGAACTTCGGAGAATTCGACATTCTCTTTGAAAATACTATAGAGCGTTAGCTGCCAAGTTGTCATGCATCAGCCATTTATGGATCAAACGGCAAGAGATCATGAAACATTTGCTTCATTTATCTCACCCCTCTAATCGCCTAGTATAACCGTGCTAGTCAAATTAGCACTACGATAAATTCTTCTCCTGCGTTAGGTATTGTAAGTAAAAGACTATAGGCAGTAAGCTAGAACTGGCTGGACGAATAAGTGTACGAACATATCAGACTTCCACATTCTTAAAAATTGTAGAACGTTTAATAACCGAAATGTGCGAGAATGATGCCAAGAAAAATATTTAGTTAGATTTGAGTAAAAACGTCAAATTAAAAATTTTCAGTATATGTAGGAGTGGTTTGAGGTGGATGGGAGGAATGATAAAGAGTGGAATCGACTTTCGTTCGCCAGTGCTATAAAAGCCGAATCAACTGGAACAATTATCACAACCGTTGGCCTCTTCAGTAAGGAAAGAGGCAAGGTTGAATGAAATCCTTATAGATTGCCAGTACGGTCAAAAAGTGTCATAGATGGAACGGCTGTAAGAACATGTCGGGGACCGGACAGGAGGCCGGTTTGCGCGGCAAGGCCAGAATAAGAGACGGTCGCACGGGGAATTATTTTGCGATTTGCGCCAATTAATAGGAACGGCATACATATGGGACGTCACTCACGCACATCACGAATGGGGCTCGTCGCTGACTCATACCTTCTTGCCGCGCTTCGGGCCTCCTATCGGGCTCCCAAATGCCACACCAAGGTGGATGGGGGCTAACTTAGTTGAGTGGGGGACGTGCGCGGCAGCTTCTGTCCTCGCTTCTCCGGAACTGTAGTGGTGATGAAATAGTAATGTTCCCGTGACGTAGCCTACATTAGCGTGACACACAAAGCGTCGCGCCGCCGCATAATCCCAACTAAACAGCACCCAAGGGATGCTTGCGGCTATTGAACGAATGATGAATATGATCGAAGTGAGCAAACCAGCCGTTTGACGTTTCTGCTGGGACCGTATGCTAAATGTTGCGAAGGGGATGGGGTCCCAGACGGTCGACTGACTACTTTAACTCGATCCTCAAATCCGCCTCAATTTGATGCTTGTCTCAGGACTGAGCCTTATAGAGAGGGCGGGCACTGCGAAAGAGACCTGAGCTTCGGAGAGAGGACGGACCTGCGCTCTCTCGCAGGTCCGTCCTTCTCTTTAAGGCTTAGTCCTGAGGTAAGCATCAAATTGAGGCGGTTTCAAGGACCGAGTTGAAGTAGTCCGTCGACCGTCGGGGACCCCATCCCCTCCCAACATTCAGCATACGGCCCCAGCAGAAACGCCAAAAGGGCTGGTTTGCTTACTTCCAATATAGATCGTGTGGTACGACAGTTCAGTGCGCTAGTTTGACGATCACGCCAATTTTTTTGAATACGGTAGACGCGAAATGTATTTACGTAGGGACTAGTGCCCACTGCTATGATTTGACGAGACGCTGTGAAGTAACTCAGTTTCCACGTATGTCGAGTGACTGCCCTCACCCCCCCTCCTCAATGGCCAACCCCCCCCCCGAATCACGATTTCCTCGATTTCTCGTGCACAGGGGCGGAGTGCCAGCAAGCCCAGTCACAAGATTCGGGGATCCCATCGGGGCTTGCTGCACCGGCAGCGGGGCCGAGTCCTCACGTACTAGCATTCAGCGCGTACGTATTCAAAAATGCAGAGTGCTAATTCGCTTGCATTTGTGCCATCGATAGATTGCCATGAACCTAAAAGATTAGCAAATGTGTTCGAGAAATATTGTCATTGCAGCTGTCCTCACCGTCCATGCAAGCAATGATGTCAGTTTCTGGTGAAGCTGGCGCAATCGCGGAGAAGCAGTGATGAATGTGAAAACAAGTTGCGGCATGCAATGGGCAGAAACACATGGTCAAGGTTAGTTCATTCAAAAGCACATATTGAAAAGTAGTACGTATGAGATTCAAGTCCGAGAGAGTATGTGCAAGCGCTATGTCAATGACGATAAAACAAAAATTAATTACTGAAACGATTCTGTTATGGATGCTTCTTCTGGACGAAAAGGAAGTCTGAGACAGAGAGCCCTAAGAGTCTAACGTAAGAGACAAGAGGTATCCAGAGGAAGGGAAAAAGGCTTGGAGATGACAGAACCTGTCCAAAAGTATGATATGGGTGGGGAGAAAGTACTGAGCCGATTGTTGCCAAGGGTCTCAGAAATTTCGATTTTTGATCGGTACCCATGACCTACCATGAGGTTATTATAGATCGCCCACGATGCAACCACACCATCACTAGTGAGATTTGCGGTCAGCTCCAGAAACTGGCTGACAGTCTTCGAGAAAAACGACCTGAGACGAACTTCTGTCCACCTACTCCACGATGACGCCTAGGCCCCACATAGCTAAAGAGACCCGTGCAAAATTGGAGGAGCTGATCTGGGACACGGTTCCCCTGCCTCCAACCTGTTCCCCTAACAACACCCCTCTGACAATCGCTTATTCCGCCCCTTGAGGCATTCTAGCTAAGAAAAAAGGTTGGCGATGTTGTTAGTCGGCCAGCGGTTTCTTTGATTCACAGTCCTCAGTTCTGGGAGAAGGGAAGCTGCCTGCTCATTATGTGGCGCACCGCTCTGACTTGAGTGACGATGGTGATTATACTGTTGAGTAAATTCTATTGTATGCAGATGAAAAAATAAAGCGGGGTCAAATAGGGTTCAAGACTTTCTTACCAACTTAATTTCAAAGATGGCAGCTACCACAACGGTAAACGTGCATGGTTAAATGAGGCGTTCCGTGGTTCCGTGGCGAATTCTAAGCCTCCTAGCGCTCTTTTCGCGCTTTTCCTCAGTTCCCAGTTGCATAGCTGTGGGCCCAGCAGCCTTATTCGTGGGAGGTACTGCTTCCGTGATCCGATTGCCCAGTGTGTTTTCAAAGACCTTTTCGAGAAGCTGGGGATGCTAGAGAAGGATTGAAGCACTTCTCACGGCACGCTCACACCGAAACTTAATTTTTTTCAATTGGTTATCGCCTTTACCTTGGGGGGAGTCCAAAAGAATGCAAAATTTAAGTATCAAAGACACATTGAATAGTTAGGGGGTATTGTTCTAAGAACTCTCAAAACTACGTGCTTGCTGCCCGCCCCACTGGAGTCTCATTGGTCAGTCCTCTGGTACGGTCAAATTGGGTAAAGTAATGGGTCCAAGGGATAAAATTGCCGTGGGGCAAAGCGTAAACCCCGTCTATATGATCAGCGCGAAATGTGACTGGAGAAATTTTGGTGGTTTCTTTTTCGCATTTTTTATTACTGGTGGTCTAATCAGGCAAGTCGCAATTATGTTAAGACGCAATAGCCCAACCTATTGAATAGCGGAATGTGCCTTGAAGTTGGATATTACGATTATAATCTATTTTTGGCCACTTATGCCAGCTTCCTTATAGATTTCTGATTTCTACCTTACCTGAACATTTCAGAAATACGAACAGCAACTGAAAAGAGGATTGTCGTATGTCATTCGGTACAGCTTTCATCAATGGGATTTTGCGAGGGATTCATGATGTTCTTCCAACTCTACTTCTTCGAGCTGCCGCCTTTCTGTACTGTTATGGCATTTTCATAAGAGGCATTATAACCTGAGTACTGGCAAAAAATACCTAACTTCTTTGTACTCCAGATATGGAATTCCAAGCTACTATCACGGAATAACGCCGGAACCGGGTACGATATTCATAGTCGCTTCCACAGTGATATTAGGTGAGGTGAGAGAGCAAGAAAGCGCCAGTGACTAAGCGGTGCGTTCAATAGTAGCACGTTTTTGTTAGGATCTTAATTCTTTGGCTCTCGGCCCGTATGATGGCGATTATGAAAAGCGAGAATCGCGCGGCAATAATTTACGAAACGATTGACCAGGTAAATTCTACTACTAATTATTCAGGTTCGCTGATATATTTACTGCTTGTGTAGGAAATTCGGTATCGATTAAAAAGTTCAGCTGTAGTTTCACGATTCTAAGTAAATAAAATGATGCCGAAAAAGGCTCTATAAATCTAGTCTGTGTTTTGCTTCGGCTATCACGCGGGGGTAGACTTTATGTGACGATGAGATATGTTGTAAATTGCTTCTGGATGGAATTGGTTCAGTTGACAAGTGGCGTCGCTTACCACGTACACGGTGAGGCGATCAAGACTCCGAATCGTAGCTGCCCAGATCAACTAAGCGTTCAATCCTTTCTGGCGTGATTGAGTTGTTATCAGGCTTATCGTGGGAGGATGAAAACTGACTCACGCATTGCGCACCCTTGTCGCGGTTGTAGGCCAAATCGCATTTAAATGCCACGCTATTCGACGAAGCAAGGTTTGCCAGCAACTGAAGCTTGAAGGCGAAATCGTTGCCATTGTAGGCAGACGTGCGTCAACGTGGAAAAACAAGAAAAACGCCTTCTTCTATGCGAATTGTGTGTTCGATCCGCATCCTTAGAAGGTTCGCCTGCCTTTCCACTAGGCAAGTTTCCCGTTCTCCATCCTTATCGTAGAACCCTCGTTCAAGGTGGGAAACTTTTGGGCCGCAGTATCTGTTTGAAATGCTGACCACAGCTTTGTTTTTAGTGAGCCAAAAACGGTGGGCATCATTCTCACAATCTAGCCAGGATTTCAAAAAATTCGTGTTCTATAGGCCAAGGAAATCGCATCCAAGGAAGGACGAGAAATTAGAGCATGCGAAGGAAGACTAGAGTTCAAAGATGTTCATTTCAGATATCCGACAAGGTAGGGTAAAGCTCATTGTTGAAAGCAAAGCTCTACAACACGGTATTTATCTTAGGGAGACTCCCATACTGCGAGGTCTGAGCTGGGTAGCCGAACCTGGAGAGACAATTGCGTTCGTGGGGAAAAGCGGATGCGGAAAAGCACTAGTGTTTGTTTTTTTCAATATTTGCTTAGGTTTATACCAATTTTTTTTATCGATTCACGACTGTGAGGTTTTTGCAATTCTTCACTCCTTTGTGATTCGAATTAGTCTGGAATTTCTGTCTTAGGGCACATTCCTCAATAGCAATGACGGGGGTAAGGCGCTCAAGTGTGCATCAGTAGGTGCTAGTTGACATACCAGTGAAAAAGACCATTGAAAACGCCCCCAATGAGACCCTTCTTCCTATGGCAGTTGGAGAGTTGGACAAAAACCGTCTAACTTATCTGGAGTCCAGAAGTAGGAAGGGCGTGCAGTCATGGACGGAACCAAGCAATATTAAGGAACAAGATGCAGAAACCACAATCTGGGAGTGCCAGCATCCACGTGTTGGCTCCCTAGCGCTTCTACGTACCCGACCTTTCAAAATACGAGAAGACGTCGGGTGCAGACCATACACCACAAGTGACGACGGCCTCCACAAAATGTAAATGTTTTCTGCCAATGAAATGATTAGCCTGCTGCAGTTGTATTCTATCAGTTGTCACTAATTACAACTATCATTTACCAAAAATCAGCTATCACTATGAACCACTATGTACTTGGAGGCCGTCGTCACTTGTGGTGTGTGGTCTGCATCCGACGCTCTTCTCGTATTTTGAAAGGGAGGGTATTTTCTAATCGCTAAAGTGACCCTATTTCCGTAGTCGTAGTCCTCAGTACACCCAGTAACCTTTTTCATGAAAAGAATTGGTCCTACGTTTTGATTGCGGCATGTGCCTTTAACCCTTAGCCTCTGACGTTTCGAAAACAAAGATTATTGATCTGAAGCTCAAGAGATGTCACTATAAATTCAAAGGAAAATGCATTCCATCGTATCATCCTTCCAGAGTTTGCTAGCAACGCAAACTGCCTCTATTGACGTAGCTGTTCAGATTGGTCTCCTAACTCGGCTCTATGACTGTGACCGAGGGTCAGCTCTTCTTGATGGTCAGGAGATCCGATCCATCAAAACCAGTGACTTGAGAAAGGTATTTCTGATATTTCGATGCATGTAGGGTCGTTTGGCCGTATTATTTGCCATCATGTGGTGTATTACAGATGATTGGCATTGTGCAGCAGGAGCCATGCCTTTTCAATGGCACGATCCGCGAAAATATAGTACTTGGTCGGCCAATCAGTGACGAAGAGGCCGAGGAAGCCGCTCGGATAGCAAATGCGCACGAATTTATAATGAAATTGGACAAGGTACAGTCCTAACCCTGTCTTCGTGTTCAGCTTGCTTGCTTTGACGTGACGCGATCGCAAAGTATAGCACTTGCACTATAACCCACTAGGGATTAAGGGCTACGACACCCTTATCGGAGCTGGAGGAGTGTCGCTTTCGGGAGGACAGAAGCAGCGCCTCGCCATCGCTCGAGCTGTAGCAGCTCAGCCAAGAATTCTTCTTTTGGACGAAGCTACCAGTGCATTGGATTCCGAAAGTGAGAAAGTAGTGCAGGTAAGTTGTTGGGGGAATTAGAAGCGCGTCAAGTTCTTATTGTTAGTTTTCAAAGGATCAATCCCTGGTATTATAGCTAGCACTCAATCGGGCTTCGCGTGGTCGCACAACTGTGGTCATTGCCCATCGCTTGAGTACCTTGAAAGATGTTCAACGAATTACGTTTTCAGAAGGAAAGTGCAGAAGTAGTAAGCATAGGCTGTCAAGGTTTTATCATTGACTGCAATGGCGGAATGAACGCCATATGTGGCACGCGATTTAAGGCTCAGGCAACCAAGGTCCTAAATCGCTCAATTAAGTTTGAAAGTATTTCGTTCTGCTCCTTGTCCGCACTGCCTGGAGGCAACCTTACTCGAGGTCGGCGTCGACAAGGGATAGGATGAAGGCGAAGGTATTAGGGCAGGTCCGTCTGACATACAATCTGAATCTTGTAGACAGGCCTAAACTACCACAGTTCGAGACGAAGAGCTTTACACTCCATTCCTCTCTTAGTGAGAAGCCGGTCGAATTGCATCCAGCCCCGGCTTTAATACTACTTAATGCCCCGTGACACGTTTCTCACGGAAGGTGTCCCTTTGAAGTGGCTGCTAATGTGACATATGTGCTGTGTAATGCCAACTGATCTAAGCAGGAGGGTTTCGTCCTTTAGGCTATATCGAAGTGATTTCTTCATTCTAGAGATCATGCTTCTAGGGTCAGATAAAGCTATGGTTCGCATTTTTCTGAACTTTTGGACCTCAAAACAGTGGTGAAGAAATGGTCAAAAGTTCGTTCAATCCGCCGTGGTGACAAATTTTTGCAATCCATGTTGGAGCCTCCAAATTGTAGCCAAATTCACGACGATGACATGTTAATCGACGCTGGTGCCATTAGGACACAATTTGGAGGCGCCGACATAGATCGCAAAAATTAGACATCACGGAGGATCGAACTTTGGACCATCTCTTCTCCACTATTCTGACCTTCCAAGAAGCATTCAGGAAAAACGGACCATGTTTTGTGTTCTCGCATTAGTCTCTACAAAGTGCAGGAAATCATTTTGGAAAAGCGCCTCATGTCCTGAAAGGCATCCCTTGTAAAGCTCGCTCCTGCGTGAGCGCCACCCAGGTCAGCGAAGCCTCCCTTCTGTCCTGGGTCGGTTAATTGTTACCAGACTTGTCAGAAAGTGGAACTTAACTATGCACCGGCTACCGCTTGGCCCCGCACTTCATTTTATAGTCCAAATCGCATTTGAAATGTCATCGCGTTTCTGAACTTGAGGAGAACGCACGGCGCATTTCAGGAAGGGATTGGTCGCCATCGAAGCTCTCTTATGCTTCATCTTTTGTTTTTGTATACCATAATAACACATAAGTACTTGCGAAGATTTCATACAACATATTTATGACCTTTCAGGTACTCACTTCGAGCTCTTGGCGAAGGGAGGCTTATATAGCGGTTTGGCAGCAGCTCAGGAAATTGGTGTCGATATTGGTGGCAGGACTAGGAAAATCTCCGACAGCATTGATGCAGCGCCACAGTGAGAAACCTAATTTATTTACATCTCTTATTTTATTTATTTATTTTTTTTATTTGATCTTAGGCCACAAGGCGCACAAAGTAATATAGTCGAGAACCTGTGCTGGTAGTATAGGCAGACATCATAATCTCTTATGATCTGTGCTCTGGCGTATTTTAAGTACCGTCGTCTAACTATAAAAATAACATCGGATTTTTTTTATTTTTATTTATTTTTTAGGCTCTTTTTTCAGACAGATTATATTTTATTTCCTATTTGAGCTCGATGCCTCTTGTGCGGCACGATCTGAGAGGAAGCGGAATGGCAAGAGCATCCATGTCTTCAACAGTTTCTCAGGCAGCTACACACCTTATGGAGAAGGCACCTATAGTGAAGGTCCACCTTGTGTTTTTATAGCGTTCAGCTGCCTTTTTGCCGAAGCTGTAACTTTTCAGGCAGGCCGTGGTGGAGGAATTTTCCGGGTGTACCTCTCAAGAATGCGTTCCAGTGCAGTGTTCTGGGCGTGCTTTACGGGAAGCGTTCTGCGAGGGATGGAACTGCCGTTTTGTGCCTTCTTCGTGGGCTTTTCCTATCGTGCTCTTGAGCAAACAGCTGTAAGTATAGTTCTATATCATAAATCGTCAAGAGGCATGGGTCGCGATACATAAAAGCACTGAGATTGAGAACCTTCTTTTTCTCATAACATTGAGCGTTAAACGACGGAGGGATCACGCGGCGAGTAGAAGAATTAGTGAGAGAGTATCGCATACGAGAGAGCACAGACACCGTGTATATTGCGAACGAGTAATAAATGGCGCGGTCGTTGTGTCGCGCTCAAAGGCAGGCGGTACAGCCGAAAATCCAATCTGGGGCCAATCTGGGGGGTCCTTGGTACCTCATTCCTACTTCTAGTGAGCATTCCTTCGGACTCGAATATACGAAAGATTGGAGGTCGAAAAAAGGGAAATCTACCCAATGCAGAGCGAGGCAGGTCCCGAGATTGGGACGAGTCGTGTTTTGCGTGAAGGATGCACGCAGCTAATGCTTGACCCGTGGCAGTGAATTCCTTTCGTCATTGTCCACGTCCAACAATTGGCTTCCCTAGCTGCTGGTGTCTCGCTTGGTGCTTCGTTTTGCAAGTTCGGTGTCCTTTTCAGGTTTTTACTCACTTCTTCATTTTGTACTGTAGGGGATACATTCAAAACAGGGTATTCAAAACTGCTGACAGGTGACACTAGGACTGAGCGCAAGAGAGGAGAGGGTTGCCTGAGAGAACAAGAGTTGCTAACACGCTCTCCAGTGATCCCTTCTCATCCCTAAAGCCTAGTCCCTGGTGCTGTGAGTGGCTCACTCACTTGAATGTCTCCCTTCACCCCAAAACAACATTCTCAAAAAATTTCTCTTTCACGTTTAGGAAACATTTGCTCCATACTTGTGGCTGGCGGCCGGATTGTTCTTTGCTCTGGGAGTGTACTCGTGGATATCTCTGACAGTGGCCGTAAGTGTTTTCATGGTTTCGTGGTCGTTTAGCTGCACGAG